ACCACCCCRGCMRAGCCCAGCCAGGRTCCACAGCCAACATCAGTCTCACTTSTGGTGTGCTCAGCACCAACAACAAGGGCACAGCCACCCCAGCTCCCCTCTCCATCACCCTCATCCCTGCCCCTCGCTGTCCTCTCTCCTGGATGGGCGCTCAGCCCTGCACACAGACCTACCCAGGATGAAGAGCATCTCCACGGCGATGTCGCTGACGATGGTGCTGCGGGCAGCRGACAGGCTGTCCTCCGTGCCCGTGAAGCAGACGTTGTAGGGGACAGTGATGGCCACGTAGAAGGTGGCCAGCAGGATCAGCCAGTCCCAGAGTGCCTTGAAGATGCTGTAGTGGAACAGGATGAAGCGGGACTTCTGCACCGAGACCACCTTGTACTCGGGGACGGACGGCTTGTTCTCAAACACGTTCTGYAGGAGCAAGAGTGGTACGTGGATGGTGCAGGGGCCATCCACAGCCATCCCTCCTCCCGAGTCCTGCCAGCCCGTGATCACACCRGGGTGATGGACAACCCCTTTCCTGCATTGAGGTCACCCTCAGAGATGGGCGCAGRGTGCCCAATTATGTCACATCAATTAATGCAATGTCAGTGCTATTAACAGTAATCTCCTGGCAATGCCAACTGCTGCCTGGAACCATCTCAGGTGCCAATTCACATGCTGGGGGAGAGCAGAGGTGAGRGCAGAGCCAGGRCCACCCCATCCAAGTCCCCAAAAGTCAAGACTGGTKCACTGCTCTTTAGCAGCTCTCAGACCCTCTCTCTGACCCCAMAACTGCAGGTGGCACCTGAGGATCCTGTTCTGGGAACCACAGCTGTGTGAAGGGGCTGGCACAGGACTGATTCAGGTCCCTGCTCTGTCTGGCAGCTCCACAGCTCTGGCACCCTGGTAACAGCACTCCCCAGAGCCAGCATGGCTGTGCTCAGAGCCAGCACTGGGGTTTCCTGACACCGAATGTGCGAGGAGAGGCACAGCTCTGCCAGAGCCACCAGCTCTGCCATCTCCACAGCAAGTTCTGGGCACCCACTGGCTTCTCCTRCTGCCAACCAAACACACGTGCAGCCTGGCTACAGCGTGGCTGCCAGGGCTGGGGGGCATTTCAGGTCAGGGAGGGATGGGAGCAGCATCCCAGTGTGGCTGGACTCTGCTGGGGGCTGCTCTCAGGGAAGCTGCTGCTCTGCCAGTTCCCCACAGCCCCACCCCAGGAGGCACCGGGGTCCCCCAGACCCTTACACGGTTGATTTTCATCTCACTGCGGTCCCTCCGGGCAAATTGGTCGCTGAGCCGGTGCAGCATGGTCCTGCCCTGCCTCCGTGCAGCCCGCAGGTGAGAGTTCCCGGGCTTCTTGCTCCTCTGCTTCTCGCTCCTCTGCTTCTCTGCRGTGGACAAGGCACACTGAGTCAGGGGGAGAGCTGTGCCATGGGTGCACATGGCGGGCATGACCCACCAAAAATCAGGGAACCCTTTTGCCACATGCCCACTGCTCACACGGCTCCCTGAATCCCATCCCCACTCTACAGCCCCTGCTCACCCTCCTTCTTTTCACCCGGGCAGCTCTTGCCCCGGCTCTCTGTGATGTCCTTGAAAGAGAAGAGGAARAGCACCACCTCCCCCTTTTCATTCTTGATGGGCATGATGTCCAGCAGGCACCAGAAAGCAGCTCCTGCGCGGAGGGGAGAATTGGTGAGGTCAGGGCAGCCCCAGCACCGCCCAGCATCTTCCTCCCAGGGCCACATTTTGGCAGGGGCAAATCCCAAATCCCACACGCCACTCACCATCCTTCTTGTAGAAGCAGACTTCAGTCTGGAACTCCTGCCTGCTGTCCAGTGCCTTCTCGATGCCCTGCAGGATGGGCTCGCTGGTCTCAGCCCCGCAGAGGAAGCGGCAGCTGCAGTTCTTCTGCATGACCTCGGTGCGGGCAAAGCCGGTGAGGTCGCAGAAGCCATCGGAGCAGTAGACGATGGGGAAGCCGCAGCGGCCCTGAGCGTTTGCCAGGATGAAGTTGCTGTCTGAAAGGAGACACAGCTGCCCCCGAGGCCTTGGGGCACCTCAGGGGGCACCAACAGCAGCCCAGCCCTCYTGGAGCCCCACGTGTCGCTCTGGGAAGTGGAGACAGAGCTCCATCCTGCTGCTGGCTGCCCTCAGCTGTTCCCAGAGCTTGCTCATCCCCTGTCCTGCTGTCCCCAAGGCCCCAGCCTGRGCAGGACCCCAGCCCCGTGCTCTGGAAGGGGAAGGAGCCCGGATCCATGTCCTGGCCCCCATCACCCACGCGAGGCAGCTCACGCCTCCCCCTCGGCCATCTGCCGCTGCAGCTCTGCYGGGCTCAGGGAGCTTAGTGGGAGCAGCAGCTCCCAGCTGGGCACATCCAGCCCAGRGGTGCCCAGCTGCGGTGCTGAGACCCCCAGAGGCGTTGGGCACCAGCTGAGGGGGTGGGAGAGAAGCCATGAGCCCGCAGGAAGCCAAGGGTCAGTGCCCAGCTGGCGTGGGCCACAGATGGACMACAGCATCCTCGGCCTCTCGGCGACACAGAGTGTCCCCAGCATCGCCCAGCCGCGGCGGGGGGGTGGCACCGGGCACAGTAAAGCCCTCATCAGCCCTGAGCCATTCACAGAATCACTGCTCTGCCCCTCAGCACCAGCAGGACAGATGGGGTCACATTATCAGAGTGTCAAGGAAGGGCCTGTGCGACTGTGATGGCACCCAGCGGGGGCAGATCGGGGGGTTCTCAGCCCCAAAAATGATCTCAAAATCAAAAATTGGATGGGCGACCAGCTCAGCACCCTCGCACCGCGCAGCCAGGGTCGGGTAGATGTGCTCTGCCCCTTCTCACAGGAGAAAAGAGCCCATCCGCAGTGATACCCACACACCATGGCATCACACCGAGTGGTGCCAGGGCAGGGCAAACGCAGCAAGAGGCAGYGGGAGGGAGGGGAGGGAATGAGGCAGCCCTGGCTGATGGGGGTGCCGTGGGGCCACCACMGCACAGCTCAGCCCAGGATTAGCTCCGAGAAGCAAAAATAGCCTGAAGCTGTGACTAAGGCCAGATTTTGGCTCTGGGAAGCCGGGATTATGGTGATATCCAGGATGTGTTATTAGAACAGAAAACAAGGGTTTGCATTTGGGAGTGGCTCGCTGAGCTGGAGGATGTGGCYGTCGCGGGCTTGGCAGACCCCAGCCGTGGTGGCCACTGTGCCTGGCTGGGTGCCCCGGGTCCAGAGCAGCGGCTGCCCGGGAGAGGCAGGGTTAACTCCCCACAGGGTATCACTGCGCTAAACCCCTCTCCATGGCAGATAAAGCCGATAAGAGGCACATCAAACCCGCAAAGCCCCACACTGTTTAAAAGTGCCCGGAGGYGGYTGGGCAGCTTGGGTGACTTTGGGGMACTGCCAGGACACTGGAGGCAAAACCAGGCTCCCCGGGGCAAATTCCCAAGGCTTTGGTCGTGGTGTTGCAGACAGCTTCCCCGGGGACCCTTCCCTTGGAGAGTCAGATCCAGAAGCTCTGCCCCTTTGGAGGGACAGTGGGATCATCACCACCATGAGGCACATGWGGCTCTGCCCTGTCACCTCCAGGCGCAGGAAAAAGAGAATTCTCAGGCATTACAGCCCCAAAAGTAACATCCCAAATCCCASCTCCCCAGGCAAACGACCCCCTGCGCCACCAGGGCTGTCCAGTGTCACTCCAGGCCGGGAGACAGCTCAGCATCGCACCAAACACATGCTCCAGGGTGCTCCGAGTGCCTCGGTGGTGCCCTGGGAGGTGGCTCCAGGCTTCCAGGGTCACACCAGTCCCTCAGAGAAAGGGAGGAGATAGCTCGCCATGCAGGCAGAGCAGAGAGACACCTGCTCCAGGTGTTTTTGAGGGAAGCTGAGGTCAGTCCTGAACACGGCCGGTCCCCGGCGGGCTGCACGGTGCCAGCAGTGCTGGAGTTAGCGTGCGGCATCACCATTCCCGGCTCCAATCCATCCCGGCACATGGGCACCGACAGGAACCCGGGGCACCATTCGGGCACGGGACGGGGCATCGCGGGGCCCCGGGGCTCCCGGTGAAATCCAGGCGTGTYGAGACCGACCGTGCCCTCTCCGGGTCACCCTCGCCCCTCCCGCCGGCACCGGGATCTGTCCCTGGTGCTGAGCGCGGCTGCGGCGACACCGAGCGGCACCGGCGGTGGGAGAGGGGAGAGCATCGAGGGGGCGGCCCGGGACACGGACACGGACATGGGGAGTTCCGCAGCACCGAGCCCCAGTTCGGGACGGTCCCCGTACAGCGCGGGGGTGGTCACGCCCGGCCGAGCCGCGGGGTCTGCGGGTCGAACCCTGTCCCGCTCTCTGTCCCCTCCGGGACAGCGGCTTCCCCCACCCGGTGTCCCCCTTGCCCCCGCCGCCACGGCCCCTCCCCGGTCCCGTCCGTGCCCTACGTGTGCCATCGAAGCGGGTGGCGATGGTGTCCAGGAAGGTGTTCTGCGGCGCCAGCAGCCCCTTCATCACCGGCATCGTCCCGCCCGACCGGCCGCCCGCCGCGGGGCTGCGGCGGCGGGGCTGCCTCCGCCGCCCCCGGCCCCTCCGCAGCGCCGCAGGCTGATCCCGGCCCGCTCGGGGCTCCCGCCCCGCCCCCGCCCCGCCCCGGCACCGGGAGGGGCCTCGGCACCGTCGAGCCCCGTCCCCCGCCCGCGGGCAGGGCGATCTGGCCGGGGCGGGCACYGGGTTGGTGGCGCCGGGACCCGCTCGGCATCGGAGCCGCCGTACCGGGAGGCACCGGGACCCGYTCGGCCACGGGAGCCGCTCCCCCCCGGCCCTCCCGGGCACACGGGGCTGCAGAAAGAGCGGGACCCGCCTCACCCCGGTTCACCTCTGTCCTGGTACCGCCCTCAGGCAGCTGGTCCCGCCACGCCCCAGTGCAGGTGCCGCAGGTGAGCCCAGTCCGAACTCCGCGGAGGAAGGCGCTGTGCCCGCCCAGCCCCTCCCCAGAGAGACAACAGAGCCGGGTGACATCAGGCTACCATTTATTGTAAAAGGCCGCGGTGCCCGCGGTGCCCTGAGCAGGCTGGGCCAGGGCCAGGGCAGGGAGGAGGTATCTAAAAGTGCTATTTACACTGAGCTCCGGCTGTGTGTCCCCGGAGTCCATCCTGCCAGGGATCCCTTCTCTGTCCCCGCCGCCCCCATCCCGCTCAGTAAAAGCTCCTTGCAGCTGCCTGGGCCTGGCTCGTACTCAGGTCCTTCCCTGAGTGTCCCTGGCACTCCCTGGGGCCGGCAGGGCTGGTGTCAGCACCTCGCGGTGCCGGTGTCGGCTGGGCGTCCGTGCCCGCGGGACAGCCCAGTGTGTCGTGGCAGGCGGTGCCAGGCTGCTGCCCGCGCTTGCCCATGGTGAGGATGCCCGCTGCGTGGTTGCCGGAGCCATGGAGCAGGCGGTAGAGCCGGCTCTGGAAGGCCAGGGGGACGCTCTTCCTCTTGCCCAGCGTGAGGATGCCAGCGGCGTGGTTGCCCATGCCGTGCAGGAGGTCGTAGACGCGGCAGGAGCAGGTCTTCTGCCGGCAGCAGTGGGGCAGGTTCTGCCGGGCAGCAGCCAGCGAGCAGAGCAGGAGCAGCAGCAGGAGGCAGGCAGCTCGCCGGGGCTGCCGGAGCAACGGGCAGCGTTAGGGCAGGGCAGCGACAGTGCGGGGCGGGGGGACACTGCACAGCCCCGGCACCGCGCCCCCGCTGTCCTCACCGGTGGTTCAACTTCCCCCGCTCTGGTTGCTGCTGCAGGGTCCAGCCCCACACCCAAGGAGCGTCACCCTTTGGTGTCCTGTGGCTCAGACCTGTCCTCACTGTGCCCCTGCCCTGCTCTGGCACACAGCAGCTGTGGCAAACTCCCTCCTCTCGCTGTGCGGTGCCACGGGACACGCAGTGAAAGCACCCATGCTGCAGGCACTGCATGCCCAGCTCCCTCTCAAAAATCCCCTCATCGGCTGCTGGCTACAGTCAGGGACTCCCGGGGATTTGCTGCGCACTCAGAGCTTCCCAAGAAACCAACCAGGCCCTCCCGCACCCCCAGCCCCACATTCCGACCTCCCGCTCATCACTGTCCTCTTGTCCCCAGGGGCTGCCGCACCCCAGCCCCACCTTGGCGTTGGACACCTCCATCCTTCCCGGGGTCTTCAGGCGGCCGAGCGGCTCTGGGGCATGTCCCATGGGCAGCTGAGAGCACAGCACCCTGCACTGCCACTGCCACTTTATAGGGCCCAGCACAATAGTGCTGCCAAAAATACCCCCGGGGCAGCGGGATCAGCCGGTCTCTGGGAGACGTGGGAGCGCTGTGGCCGGTAGCCCGGAGACCATCCAGGCTTTTCCCCTCATTTGCAGCTCCCCATTGTGTGGGTGCTCACTGGACGGGGTGCCTGGCACTAATGAGGCCGTAATTGACCACTGGGCTGGCACAAAGGGGCTGAAGGTCAGCGCTGGCCGGCTCCGGTGTGTGGGGCCGCTGMTCAGAGCCCCATTAGGCTAATTAATCCCCTGAACAAAGGGGTGCCAGCAGCTCTACAGCTCCCTGACTGACGTGGGGAGCCGTCACCCTGTGCTTGGCCGGTGCCAGGGAGGGACGGTGCCACCAGCGTCCTGCACCCGGTGTCACCCTCCACCCCCTTTGGTGACACCGCCCCACCCTGACCCTGTGCCTGGAACAGAGGGAGCAGCAGGGCACCAGGGAGGCTCTCACATTCTTTATGACACTCCACAGCCCCGGTCCAACCCCAGAACACCTCCAGCTTTTGCTTGTGCTGGAACTCCCTCACCCTGGGGGATGAACCCAAACATTTCCCTGATGCCAGAAGCCAYGTTTGCGATTCAGTGACATCCTAGCCCCACACCTGCTGCATCAGAGAACCTCCCAGCCCATCTGCACAGCGAGGACTCCAGGGATGCTATGGAGGTGATAGCACCAGCCAGATTTTCTCCAGGGCTGGTGAAGGTCAAACCTGAAGCCCTGGGGAGGGTGAGYAAGAGCCCAGACCTGTGGTTACTTTTCTGAGTGGCATCTGGCACAGCAGACTGCGGGTCCATGCATGTGGGCACCAGGGTACCAGCATCCCCACCGGCCCCACGGCAGAGTAGTGGCTCCAGAAGCAGATGGAGGGGATGGATGAGTCCCCTGGGAGCTTGGTGAGGCAAGCAGGAGCAGGGACATCTCTTCCCACCCTCTCCACTGAGTTCTGGTGCCCCATCAACACGGCAGAGCTCAGGCACTCAGCCTCACACGCATTCCCCAGGCCGGCCGGGGCTCCCTGCTCCCAGCCCCTGCAGCCAGGGCTGCTCAGTCCGGGCCCCCGAGCCCCAGACCGGGGTCAGCAGGATGCCGTGTCTCCGCCTCCGTCTGTCTCGGGGATGGGCTCCAGCGGGGCCCGCAGCCGGGAGGGCTCCGGCGAGGCCGATCCGTTCCTGCCGATGCCGCAGGACTGTCCCGCATTGTGGATCTGCCACAGGTTATCCAGCGCCTCCGCCTTGGCGTGCTTGAGGAGATCAGCCTGGCCCTGCGGGGAGGAGAGGTCGGGGGGTGTGTTAGGGTGGAGGCAGGAGGGTGAGGTGGCAGGGGAAGGCAGGGCAGGCGTGTCCGAGCAGCTCTCGCCCCCACCTTGAGGACGGTGATGTTCCAGGCGAAGCTCTCCAGCGCCTTCTGCAGCTTGCGGCCCCGCAGCCCCTCCTTGGCCTCGATGCGGTGCAGCTCCTTGTGGAAATCCATCCCTGSGTGGACGGGAGCGGCGCTCAGCGGCTGCAGGGACGCTGGCACAGGGACAGCAGCCGCCCACAACCAGAGGGATGTCCTACTGCACGGGCTGCAGGCTGGATGGGCGCCCCACTGCCCCAGCAGCCTCAAAACTCCTCCCTGTCGCGAATGATGGCCCCAATACCCCAGCACCACGGTCAGCCCCAGCCGCTGGCCCCCGGAGCCCATGAGGTGAGGAAGGGCAGCGAACACCCCGGGCAGAGACACAAATCTCGCACTCCGTGGCTCACCCGGGGGGACTCAGAGCGGGGCCACCGTGCCCCCCCATCCGAGCGCGGCCCCGTCACGGCGCTACACGTGGCATCCTCGTGAGYGGGGGCTATATTTACCCCTCCTGACGCAGCACCGGCTCCGGGCCCACGCGAGGGCTCCCACGCAGCCCGCTCGCCCTCGGGCTGCCAATCAGCTCGCCCACGGCCCCTCGCCCCCGCCGCGCCCGCTCCTCCCGGACCCCCAGCTCCTGCCGCTACCGGCTGTGTCAGCACCGCAGGGGCTCGTCCAGGGCGAAAGCAGGGACAGACAGCACCATGGGGTGGGGGTTGCAGCCCCCAAATTGCTGCCTGCATCCCCCAAATTGCTGTTGCCACAGCCCCGAGGGGCTGCGCGCCGCAAAATCCCCCTGCCCGGCGGCACCGCAGCACAGCAGCCAGAGCAGTGCAGGAGGGCACGGCACCAGCCTGTGCCCTGCAGCCCCTGCCCCGCTGCTCCACTCCCCCGGCGCTCGCAGCAGCGGCAGAGCCGAAAGCCAAGAGCTTGGGGAGATTTCCGTCTGCCGCGTGGGCTGGGAACAAACACGGCTGCTGGCAGCAAGGCTGGCATGGCGGGGACAGCAGAGCAGGGCCCCCTCCTTCTTCCCCAGCTTCTCCAGCTCCTGACATTCTCCCAGCCCCATGGGGAGCCCGCAGAAAGCCCTGGGGCTGGTGGGGCTACTCCAGCGGGGTCCTGGCCAGCAGATGAGCCATGGAACCATCGGGGCAGGGGTCCCAGGCAGCTGCCAGGGTGGGGGGCAACCGCGGGGAGGACCAGGGCAGGCGGCAGCAGCACCTGCTTGTGTGGGTTCTGCCATGTGTTTGGGAAGTCTTAACACTCAGTTGCCTCTTCTGCCGTCAGCCCCAGCCTGTTATTTCTGGCACTAATTATGTTCTGGCTTTTGACAGCTAATGACTCTTCCCCGCTTCCTCATCAGCCTCCCCCACTCCTCTTGCTCCCTCCCGCACAGTTCTGCAKCCCACCCACCCACACCCTGCCCCAGTGCAAGCAGCCCTGAGCCCCAGCAGCCCGGGACATGCCTGGATGCACTGCCAGAGCCGAGGCTGCCCTCCAGAACCCACCTGCTTGCTGTGCCTGGATCAGCTTCCCGTACACCGCGTCGGCAGACTCGATCAGYGTCCGGCTGGTCTGGATCATCTGCGGAGAGGGGCAGCATGAGGAGCTGGGCAGCCCCAGCCCTGTGCCCCCTGGGCATCAKGGGCTGCCCCCTGCACCAGCACTGTCTGGCCCTCCTCATCTAACCCCACATGGGGTGACSAGCAACTGGCCAGTGGGCAGGTTCCCTTCAAAACTGAGGAAGGAAGGAAGCAGCTCTGGCTGTGGCTGTTAATGGGATTTCTCCCACGTTTTGGGACCAAGGCAAGGGACAGGCAGAGCAGGCACAGGGGAGGGGCTGCAGTGTCCCAGGGTTGGACTGATCTGGGCAATCCTGTGCCTCGTGTAGCCCCTTTGCCCACTCACCTTCCCCTTCCCCAGGATGGGTACAGTGCGTTCAGGGTYCCCATCTGTGCCGGTTTGAGATAATTTTATGGGTGGGCAAACACTCCCAAGTTCCAGCAAGCCCCCCCACCCCAGGTCCTGGAAACAAAATTTTCATAACTTGTGGGCATATTGTTCTGGTTTGTTAAATAAATAGGTTTTTTTCCTTTTCACTTTCCTCTCTGTGGAAAATTTTGTTTCCAGGACCCAGGTGGGGGAGAGAGGGGGTTTGCTGGAACTTGGGTGTGTTCACCCACCCATAAAATTATCTCAAACCAGCACAACTTTTCTCCCAACTTTCTTTGGCAGGGTGCTGGTCCCAGTGTCACTGACCCCAAGGAGTCAAGCCCCAACAGGATGGCACTTACCGTCTCATAGGCAGTGAGGACCTTGCGCAGCAGGTCGGGGATGGGGCCCTGGGCCTCCATGGGGGGGTACTGCTCTGCCAGGTTGAGGGTGACGCTGGGCGCGCTGTCGCTGTGCAGCAGCCACGTGGACACCGTCAGGATGCACTGCTTCATGTTGGCAGCGGGTGTCAGCCCACACAGCTCCTTGAAGGAGACCAACGCATTCTGCAGGCAGAGATCACAGTCAGGAGCGCAGCTGGGAGGGTCCCCAGGAGCCCCCCAACACAGGAACACCCCCAATTCCCACATCTCTCTGCTCCACATATGGCTCCTCACTCATGTCCCCCAGAAAAAGGGGGACACCCGGGCTCCCCAACCCTCTGCAGGGTCCGTACCTGCACATTCTCCCGCAGGTCGGTGGCCTCCCGCAGCGGCTGGGTGGCCGTCCGGAACACCTCATCGATGGCTTTGATGCCGGTGGCCTTGGTGGAAGTGTACTCGCGCACCCGGCGGCCCCGGCGCCCTGCCAGCCCCCGGCGGTGCCCCTTGCCCCCGCCGCGGCGGTCAGTGATGGCCACRTGCACAAAGAGGGTGGCGTGGGGCAGGGGCTCTCCGGCCAGCGACTGCAGGGGGACRTGGCGGTAGCCGGGCTGCAGGCACTCAAAGGGGATGGTGTACTGGGCGATGAACTCGTCCCCGATGTAGTCATCGTCCAGCACGACGAAGCGCAGGACAGCCAGCTCCGGCAGGTTGATCTGGAACTCCAGGCTCT